GCTCTTACATCGAGCCTCCGTCTTACGCCGATGTTATCTTTAGCCCTTTCGATGAGAACGAAATCAACGGTTCTGATGATGGTAGTCGTCATAGTCAATCCTCAGATTCGTTATCTAGATCTCCGTCTTCTTCTTCGAGCTCCGATTACATCAAGATCACTGTTTCCAGTCCTAAGAAAGAGCAAGAGATCGCAAGTTCAATGATCTCTGGAGGTAACACTTACATTACTTACCAGATTACAACAAGAACGAATCTCCCTGAATACGGTGGATCAGAGTTTAGCGTGAGAAGAAGGTTTAGAGATGTTGTTACATTAGCAGATAGATTAGCTGAGTCGTATAGAGGTTTCTGTATCCCACCAAGACCAGATAAGAGCGTAGTTGAGAGTCAAGTGATGCAAAAGCAAGAGTTTGTTGAACAGAGAAGACTTGCATTGGAGAAATACTTGCGCAGGTTAGCTGCACATCCTGTGATCAGGAACAGCGATGAATTAAAGGTTTTTCTTCAGGCGCAGGGGAAGTTACCGTTACAGACGAGCACAGATGTGGCTTCGAGGATGTTGGATGGTGCGGTGAAGCTGCCGAAACAGCTGTTTGGTGAAGGCGGTGGAGCTTCTCTTGTCGAGGTGGCTCAGCCGGGTAGAGGAGGTAGAGATTTGATGAGATTGTTCAAAGAGCTTAGACAGTCAGTCTCTAATGACTGGGGTGGTTCAAAACCACTTGTTGTGGAAGAAGATAAAGACTTTTTGGAGAAGAAGGAGAAAATGCATGATCTTGAGCTACAGATCATTAATGCATCACAGCAGGTAGAATCATCTTCATTGTTGTTAACTTCATTTCTATGGATCACTTCACTTAGCTTCAGTGTCTTGATGGGTTTGTTTTTGTAGGCGGAGTCTCTTGTGAAGGCACAACAAGACATGGGAGAGACTATGGGAGAATTGGGATTAACATTTATTAAGCTGACGAAATTCGAGAACGAAGAAGCTGTTTTCAATTCTCAAAGAGCTCGTGCCAACGATATGAAGAATTTAGCCACTGCTGCTGTAAAAGCAAGCAGGTTTTACAGAGAGCTGAATTCTCAGACGGTCAAGCATTTGGTAAATTTCTATTTGATGCAAGTAGATATGAAGTCTTGTTCGAGATGGGTTTTCGTTTCATTAAGGAGCTATTGTTTAATGCCAGGATACACTCCATGATTACCTCGGCCTAATGATGGCGGTCCAGGGAGCGTTTGCAGATAGATCTAGTGCTTTACTGACAGTGCAGACGCTTCTATCTGAGCTTTCTTCATTGGAAGGAAGAGCAGAGAAGCTAGAAGCTGCATCATCAAAGGTATTTGGCGGCGACAAATCAAGGATTAAGAAAATAGAAGAGATAAAAGAAACCATCAAGGGCACTGAGGATGCCAAAAATGTTGCCATCAGGGAATACGAGAGGATCAAGGTGGTTCAGTCATGCCCCTATACATAACAAATCTTTATGCTGATCCGAAGTCTTATGTAAATATGCATTATCATGACAGGAAAATAACTGGTCCGAGGTGGAAAGGCTGGACAGAGAACGGCGTGCAGACTTTTTGAATATGATGAAGGGATTTGTTGTTAACCAGGTACATTGTTATTAGAGGAATGAGGTCTTTGATAGAATTGGAGGTTATATTGATTAGTTTCGATTAATTTCTTTCGTGAAATGGGTGTCCGAGAGGCATACGATTAGAGGTATTGAGTGAATGCAGAGAAGTATGAGTGGGATTTGTGAAATAAAGAGAGATGAAATTGATGGTATTTGGATTTGCAGGTTGGATATGCAGAGAAGATAGCCAATGTGTGGGCAAAAGCTGCAGAGGAGACGAGTCAATACGATAGAGAGAGCTCTTAACGAAAGAGTGCATCCTGTAATTTTATTCTTATTCTTCATTCATGGTTTTGAGCTTAAAACCAATTTACTTATTTTCTTTACTTTGGTGTAAAACAAAAACAAAAAAATTAATATTTTGAGAGTAATGCTTCTTATTTTGATGGTGTTACACCAGTGGTGTATCTTGTGTGTTAAATATGTCAAGCAACAAACAAAGCAAAAGGAGTAACGAAATAATGGTTACAACAATTCAGTTGTATACAATATGCAGAGCATGTATATGAATAAATATGGTATGTTTCAATAATCTCAGGCTCGAACTCGCGACATCGCAGAGGTGGCGATTGCAGAGCCAGCTGCGTTTGAGGCGGTCTGGTTGAAGAATGCGAATAAACCAGATCCAATGGCTTCTTGTTCCTCAAGAAACAAATCTTCAGGCGCACGAAACGCGCCGTGGATGGCCACAGCCATAGTTCCAAGGGCCAGAGTCGACATCAAGAGCGATCCAACGCTGGTCATGAACATAACCACCACAGTTGCGATACAGAGCATCCCTAACGTCTCAAGATCGGAAAACGTCCGTCCACCGATGACCAACGGCTGATCCGCGGGACGGAAAACGTAAAGGAAAAGCCAAGAAGCAGCCAAAGATGCAAGGAGGAAGAGAGTAAAAGGGTGCGAAATGAGAGACGCAGCGAGCAAGATTGCTACTAAGGTTATGTAATTGGCACGGAAGTAAGAAAAGTTCTTCCTCACTCGCGAAGTGGCCTCCGAAAGCGACGGAGGCCGCGAAAACGCTGACCGATCAACGAGCTCGGTCCAAGGCCGAGCGTCGGCTAAAGCGTGACGGATTGAAGCAAGAACACGAGACACGAGGAGGCGAAGAGAGCTTAGCAACTGTGGATCGTCGCCGCCGGGAAGAAGATGATGATCAGGAGTTGAAGTCGGAAGAAGAGGAGAAGCCATTGAAGCAGATCTCACGTTGCAGAGATCTGAAAAAGTAAATGGCTTTCACGTTCGCTGGCTTTCCCTTCAAAGTGTCGGCTAATATAACATGTGCTTTGAGTCTTTCTTTCTTTTTATAATGAACAAAATTATTGCTCTCTTTGTATTAATATATAACTATATAAGTAGATGCATTATATACCTTTGTGTGTGTGTTACATCATTTGCCACAAAACGTGTGAAATCTGAAAAGGTTTTTTTTTGTTGCAATTGTGAATAGTAAAACCAAGTCTCATTTCATCATTAACTAAATCAGAGCTTTATTATGTGATCATAGATACACCATGAATATGTGAAATATATATTACAAACAACAAACGAATATCCCAAATAGACCCCAAAAAAATGCA